AGGGTGTGACGGTGTGTATTTTGGAAGGGGAATGGCTGGGTTGTTGTTCTCCAAGCAACTGTATTTACTAGGGGCCGAAATGATGAGGGTTGGCCCCTTGCTTTTCCCCCTTGCCCCATCTCCTGACCTGGTACACCCACCTCTGCATCTCTTGGTCCCATCACAGCTGGACCCCACATCCACTCCATCCCAATACCTGCTGCCTTAGTTTCTCCACTCTCCGTATATCTGCCATTTGGCTTGGTATCTCCAGAGGATGGGACCAGTTTGTCACTGGATGCTCCCGCAGCGCCTGGCACGACGGGGCCTGGGTCTCAAATTTGCCCCCGAGTGATACCAATGAGAGATGCTGACATCTCTCGGGCTGCTGAGAGGAGGTGGGCTCACTCGCTCCGGATGTGGATTAATTTGCTGAAGTCCCCTGTGGGTTGCATGAGCCGTTGTTTCTTTCAAACAGTGCACAAAGACGTGCGGGGAGGGGTCCCGGTACCGCAAGGTGGTCTGCGTGGATGACAACAAGCAGGTGCAGAGCAGCGGCTACTGCGACACCAGCAAACGCCCCCCCGAAATTGAGAGCTGCGGGCTGCCACCCTGCGAGTACGTCTGGATCACCGGGGAGTGGTCGGAGGTGAGTCCCCATCCCTGTCCCCATCCCCATCCAGGGACTACGCCGCTCAGCACCACACCACGTTCTCCTCCTCTCGCCTCCGGCCTCGCTGAGATATTGCAACCCAAACCAACAGTGGCAGAGCAGTGCTGCGTGCTTTAATTATTATTTTTTGGGTTGTTTCTGTGTGCAATTTTCCCACTGGAGAGAATGGAGCAGAGCTGTGGGAGAAGACCAAGATATTAAAGAGTAAACGCCACTACGCTCACAGTCCTAGCTAATATCTAGATGAAATTTTCTTCCAAAGCACATTGTATCCACCAAACACCCTCTTTGCTTTTGTGTCATTTTATTTTGTTTATTTATTTATTTGGTTTTATTCCCATCCCTTCCCAGGGAGCTCCAGGGCCCCGTAAGCTGTGCAGGGATCTGGGTGAACATCCTGGGTGAAAGGGGATCCTGGATGTGACCGTGGGGACACATCCTTCCTCGGTGCTGTCTTTGGCAGGGGTGAGGACCCGGCGTGAGCGAAGGCAGCAGGTTCGCCTTCGGGGCTGGGAGAGGGCTCAGCGAGGAAAATAGATGAGTTTTCTTTGCGGCAGGCACTGCATGCGGGAGGACCCCGGCTAATCTCAGCCTGTTTCCTTCTTCGGCGAGTGAAGGATTACTTTCCACTTGGAGGAACAGTAGAGGGAAATGACAAGGCAGCTGCTGACACAGCACTGATTAAAAAGAAAGAACAAGAAAAGGGAGAAAAGAAAACATGCCGGGACTGAGGGGGAGGAGAGACAAGGCAGCAGAGATCGTGCAGGAGGGAGAAACGCAGAGATGAGAATTTCTTGGAGCAGCCTGCTCTCCTGCGTAGTTTCCTAAGAGAAATATTAGGATGGCTGTGAGGCTGGAGCCCTGGCTGCCCCTTGCCCAGACCCTTCTACCCGCTCCCACTGCCTGTGAGCCCCCGGGAGCACTCGGGCCCATGACGATGAGGAGGTGGGTGAGGACTCACAGAGCTGGGGCTCAGCTCACCCCACCTCCCGCTTGGCCTTTTGGTGAAGAGGGCAGAAGCACTTTTTCCTCTAATGAGAGGTCAGTCTCTTCTCCCATGTTATGAATGACAGGATGAGAGGGAATGGCCTCAAGTTACGCCAGGGGAAATTTGGGTGAGATATCAGGAAAAATTTCTTTACAGAGAGGGTTGTGAAGTATTGGAACAGGCTGCCCGGGGAGGTGGTGGAGTCCCCATCCCTGGAGGTGTTTAAAAACCATGTAGATTTGGTGTTGAGCAACATGGTTTAGGGACCCTGACAGTGCAGGGTGAATGGTTGGACTCGACGATCTTGAAGGTCTCTTCCAACCAGACGATTCTATGATTCTAAGGAAAACCTTCCCTTTCTTCCAGTTGCTGTGAAGTACCTGCAATTCAGGGTCAATCTTGACCGTTTTCTTTCTCTGTGTATCCCATAGCAAAAAAAAAAAAAAAAAAGATAAAATAAAAAGAAAGTGGGGGAAGAAACAAAGAAACCCCAAATAATAGATACTTCTGAGTTCCCAAGGGATTACCTGCTCCTTCCTTTGCCCTTGGGGAGAAATAACTTGTGTCCAGGAGCCAGCCTGGAGTCAGGGGGTCCTGGAGCAGCTGTAGGAGCAGCACAAGGAGGAACAAAGGCAGTGTTGGGCACTAGCTCATGTGTAGCTGTTCACGATACTCATGGCTGGCTTCAATAGTACCTGTTACTAGACATGTCCAAAGCTGGCAAGCCTGCTTTTCCTCCCCGTTTCGGACAGCCTTCCTGAAGCGAGTGGTGCTGACAGGCGCTTCCTCTCCCCGCAGTGCTCCGTCACGTGTGGGAAGGGATACAGGCAGCGCCTGGTGTCCTGCAGCGAGATTTACACCGGGAAGGACCACTACGAGTACGGGTACCAGAACACGGTCAACTGTCCTGGCACGCAGCCGCCCAACATCCAGCCCTGCTACCTCGGGGAGTGCCCCGTCTCGGCATCCTGGCGCGTCGGCAATTGGGGAAGCGTAAGTCTGGCAAACTTCTTTTTTTAGCGGAAAAAATTGGAACAAACTTATTTTTCTTTACATGGGGAACACAGTCCCAAGGTTTGGCAGGGAAATGCTTTAAGAGCTACATAAATTAACACGGTGAGTACCCTCGTGCAGCAGCAGCCTCGCTGTGTGTAGGGCTTCGTGCTCCAGACTGGATCCCATCATATGGAGGAGTCCCAGCAGCCACGAGTGGAGTCACGATCTCCATGAAAATTTGGTGGTAGCCTAAATTTGTTGCCGTGTTGAGGGTGATGCTGAATGCTTAGTCAGAAAGCGAGGTCATTGCCAGAAAACAAGAATTTGAAAGCCTTGTGCTAGAATAGAGGAGTGATGGATTACCTGGTAGCTGGAGTTGATCCCACTTGCTCGTGTGTGTGAGCAAGACTTGGGAACTACCAGTAGGCCAAAACACTGATAATTTGAGCCTTGAAAGGATTTGCTTTCTTTTTTTTTTTTCTTTTTTTTCCCCCTCCCCTCCTTCTTACAAATGCTGGGACAGGGAAGGGGAAAGAACTTCACCTTTCTGCTGGTTATTTGTGTCATGTCTCTTCTGAGGCCTGAACTGCAAGGTCAAATTTTAGTTAAGGTGATAACATTTCACTTCTATGGGCTTCTGACGTTCTTTGAAATGTGGTGTTTCTCCCATAAATTTGATTTATTAACCCAGCTCAGGCATTTGTAGGAATTTGTGAAACATTTACGAGGCAACAGGGGTCAAGTCAAGCAAAATGTAGTGGAAGTTGTCACAGTAAATGGAAGAGCTGTTGGAAACCTGTGTTCCTCCTGCCCCATAGGAAGCCTCAGATACCCCCTACAAGTCAGGGCAGAGGAGTTACAGCAAAGAGTTCAGTCTTCATCAATTGGTGTTTTCCCCCAGAATTTCATTGCAAAATATCCCATGCGTTAATACTACTTCATTGCGAAGTGTAGCCATTTCAGAGAGCAAGACCTTTCTCTGAATGTCCTAGTGACTACCAAGTGTCATGACCTTTCTCATCTCTGATTTTCAAAGCGTTTTAATGTAAAATACCATCACCTTTGATGGATAAAGAGAGTCCTTAGTTAAGTTTTATGGATTTGGACCTGATAAAAGAGTGAACACCAAGCTGCGAATACCATGAGCCATTGAAGACTGTCTCCTTCATGGTGCGCTTATTTAGACTAATCATTTCTAAATAGATGAGCAGCAATGTTTTTTTGGTGGCCTAACCTGCTACCTGTAGAAAGAGCTGATTTTCAGTTCTCAACTACTTGAAAGAATAAGTTATGGAGGGGAAACAAGATGCTCCCACCTCCCATAGCCCATGCTCAGGAGCAGCCAGCCTGGATGAGCTGCTGCTCAGTAGCTCTGGTAACTTGTGCAATTTCAGCCTTAAGATTGCCCTTGATTTGGGCCGTTTGAGGATGACCCGGTGTTTGCACAGATTTAGCCATTTTCCACAGGGTGAGGGGAGAGAGGGTTTGGAGGCTGTGGGGTTTTTTTGTGCAATTTGAATAGAAAATAACAAACCATGTCATGTTTGTTCAGAGGCCCCTGTCAGTCCCAAGCAATGTCTCTCAGCTGCCATGAGAGGATTTCTACCATTCAGGCCTTCTGGTGAACATTTCTCTTGTATGACCTTCCTAGTGTGAAAAAATAAACAATTTCACGTGAGCGCGTGGTTCAATTTAACCAGCACTGCCTCGTCCCGTAAAGTGTTTAAGTGCTAAGCGAAGTTCAGTCATCGTCTTGAAATAATTAGTGATGATGCTAATAATGAAGGGATTAATAATAAAAGGGATTACTTGTTTGATTAAAATTAAGCCCGTGTTTGAACACTTTGCAGGATTGAGGCCTTTGCTGCTGATACAAGGGAATCGGGCTGTCCCTGTTCTTCTGGAGCCCAGAAACCCTTGAGATACAGCCCAAATCTCTATCTTGTGTCTCGCAGTGCTCCGTCACCTGTGGCGTTGGAGTCATGCACCGGTCTGTGCAGTGTTTGACAAACGACGACCAGGTCAGCGGCTTGTGCCACGCGGATCTGAAACCCGAAGAGAGGAGAACGTGTCACAACGACCATGACTGTAAGTCTGTGGATTTGCACCTTCCTTTGTCTTTCTCGTGGCTTCAGCATCTATTCCCATCAAACTCCTAGGGACACACAGTATTTCCAAGCATTGGGAGCTATCCAGCTAAGCACTGAGGCATTTCAGGGAAACGTTTTAAAAATAAACAAGATGTTTTGGTGCTTTGGATGCCTCACAGTGTTACAGAAGAAATTTTGATGTACAGTTGCTCAGTGACTACAAGTATTTCTGTTTTGTTTCAGGTGAATTACCAAGGAGTTGCAAAGACTTTAAAAATCTCAAAGGTGTCACTGAAGACGGCGAATATTTCCTTCAAGTCAAAGGAAAGACACTGAAGGTGCATTTCAGCAATGGATTGATAGTTAATGCCTTTCCCGAAGGTGCAAGAGGACCCTGCGTGTGCTCTTCCTTCCATTCTTGGATTTTTCTACCTTCGGTCTTCTCAGCAATCCCTTTGCGCATGATGCCTGACAAAATTCTGGCTTCTCTCTCTCAGGTGTATTGCTCTGGGATGCAGACTGACAACCCAAAGGAGTACGTGACCCTTGTAAACGGGGATGCAGAGAATTTTTCAGAAGTGTATGGATACAGGTAAGAAATCCTTTAATCCTGAGCCACACAATATTTTTGTTTTCCATGGCAATATTTTCCGGTCATGAGTAGAAAGGGTTTTCTTTTGATTTAGATTGCATAATCCGACTGAATGTCCGTATAACGGGAGCAGACGAGAAGACTGCCAGTGTAGGAAAGATTACACAGCAGCTGGGTTTTCCACCTTCAGCAAAGTAAGGCTGGACCTGAACACTATGCAAATAATAAGTGAGTAAAAACAGGGCCTTGCCATTAAAAAAAAATAAAATGTTTATTTTACACAAATATAGCTGTAACTACAAGCAAGCAGTAGTACTCTAGTGAGCAATATTCCTGAGCTCTCCTATTAAAGGCTGCTTTACACTTAGAGACTGCAACTTGATTACATCAGAGATGCTCATGCTATTTCTCTATAATGTGGGAAAATATTAAGACGGTCGCTGGTGCATCTGGTTTGCAGAATGAATATTTGCGTGATCCCGGCAGGCCAGCATATTCCTTGAAAGATTTTATTTCATTTGGTTTCCTATTTTCAGACTGGACTCAGAAAGTTTAACCAGGGAGGAGCTGGACCCCATTTTACACACAGACGTGTCAGGAGATCTCAGTGCAGGGGACCCTGCTGGGGTCAGGGATGCAGCTCCCTCTGGGCCCGGGGTGGAGGAGGCTCTTGGCAGAGCCAGACCATGGGGAAATATCTTGTGTTGAGAGTGATGGAACTGGGCCTGTGGATTTTCAGGGGAGGAGGGGGCTGTGGCTGTGCAGTATAAGTCTCTCTTGTCATTCATGGGAGCCATCCCACCACCCGAGAGCCTGCAGCATCTCCCACAGCATCTCATACAGTTACGGTTTCAGTCCCCTTGACTCCAGGGATGCTATCAGTTTCCAGCAAATGTTTTAAAAATACAACATATTGTTGGAGGTTCATTCAGGAAATAGTGGAGATTTTTTAGCAAATCCAAATCCTTCCTTGTAAAATGACTCTTTATCTGATAAGGGGTTTTTATCACTTCATTTTCAAGCCATGAGACTTCCCAGTCTATCAATCTGTAAAAAGCTACTAATAGTCTGTAAAAGCTCCTAAGTAAAGATCTCAAAGGAACCACCCTCGGGGAATTTGATTCCAGCGCCCTTTGAATTTCAAAAGGAGCTGGGCACCTATCTCCGCCAGGCAGGAGCTATCTCACATCCCCATCTAAATGAGTCTCGGTTACTTCAGACCCCTCCAGAACAAAATACCCCAGTTCCCTTTGAAACCCCGACCCCTGGGCTGGGGCAGCCGGGAGAGCACAGAGATGGTTGTTTGCCTTTGTTTATAAGGGAGATTTAGGAGGTCCCATGAGCCCTCTTGGAAGTGGGAATTTTCTGATAGAAAATGAAACCCAAGTCTTGGGTTCAAATTTTGTTGTTATTTATACCTAGACCCTAAATCACCAATGTACTTAAATTGAGTTGTAAATGTTGAGCGCGTGAGTGTCCTGTTAAATTCAGCACTCGCATACTGGGAGTCACATGTGGGATGAATTGGAGATTTAATATTAAAAATCCAGCAGATGAGGTCTTGACTCTCAAGATTAATGCACGAAACCAGCTTTAGTGAATTTAAATATTAGCGAAGAGCATCTTTGCATTTATTTTTGTCTCTCCTTGCATCTTTCTTTCCGTGTTATTCACTATTCCCCACAGCGACCGATTTACAGTTCGCACGGACACATGATGGACGACCTGTTCCTTATGCCACTGCTGGGGACTGCTACAGCGCAGCCAAATGCCCGCAGGTATTTGACAACAGCATTTCATTGGAATTGGTGCCATTTGTTCTGTTCAGGCCCTTTATTAATTACTGCTGATCGCATCTGCCCAACTCCAGTGAGTGTCGCGTTGTCATCTCAGCGGTTGGAAACTTTTCCCCTTGTCCGTGCAGAAAGCACTCACCGTTTTCCATATGTCAGGTTATTTTCAGACCAGTGTCGGGACTGGCTAAGGGACATTCCCCAGGGCCTCAGACAGTCAACAGTAAAGGAGAAAAGGAAAAGGAAATAAGCTGTGGGAGAAGAGCTGGACTTTGCATGTGTAGTTGAAGGTAGAGGGATGTGTCCGTGACAGGGCTTGGCAGAAACGCTGGGCAGGGAGAGCAGTAGTGAATCAGACCATCAGGGTGTCCGGGGACCCTGCCTCTGTGCTCCCCGATCACGTATCCGCTGAAGCCGTGATTTGCAGGGGTGCAAGAAGATGGGTGAGATAACCCCCCTGGATGGAGAAGGCAGCAGACAGATGGCAGGGCTCCTGCCAAGCCAGCTCAGGGAGGAGATGCCCAAGAAGGCGAGGGGAGAGCCTTTACAGGGCAGGAACAGGTTGGGTTTCTGCCACTGGACCGGTGGAGCCCATCCATCAGAGACCATGACGATACCTGCCAGCTGCTGCCCCACTGTCCCCACGCCCTGCTGCTTATTTTCACAGCAGCCCCGTGGGACCACCACTCACTCCGTTTTGGGGCTGGGAAAATGCTGGTGAAACAAAGGTGGTGCCTGCACACCAGGGCAAATCCAGCCTGTCCCAGCACCGCAAGGTGCTCGGCCATGAAAGCACAGAGTTGGGCACAGGCTAAGTCACATCTTCAGGGGCTACAGGAGGTGATGCAGGACATGTAGCCCAGTTGCTTGGAAGAAATATGCTTCCTTGAAAGTCTTTAGGAGACTAGTTAACACTGGTGCTACAGATGGCTTGCTCCGTGTCCCCAGCACACCTAGTTTTCTTGGAGCTGGGGGATGATAAGTGGTATATTTGGATAGTCCAAGGTATTTGTGAACCATATTTGCAAAGAACATGAAGAAGGGAGTCGCAGCAACAGACGGCAGAGGGCAAACCTCTCCATCTCCTTCCCTCTCTGCTTTCAGAGCTGACACTTTTCTGCACAGCTCAGCAGCTCAGGGATTGACTTCTTACCTTGGGAAGGCTCGTGAATATTAATATCCATCCACCTGACCCAGACAGTTTGCTCCTTGCAGAAAATCAACATTCCCAAGGTGGCAAATACAGGGAGCTAAGCTAACGGTCGTCGGGTACCGCACGGCTGTGCTGGGCTGTGGGTCAGCCGGGCCATGCGGCCGGAGGATCCCTCCCTGGGTCCAGGAACAGGCAGGGCTGGGCTCTGCCATGGGCGTAAGGGGAAGGCTGGGGGGATCTGTGTTGGATGCAGACATAGCCCTTTTGTGCGTTTTGAGACAGTGGAATGAAGTGAAGGACGTTTTTAAGAAAAAAGCAAATGAAAGAGTTTTGATTTTACTGAAGTCTACAAAAAAAAAAAAAAAAAGCCCAGTGGAAAATAAGGAAAACAAGGACAAGTGTGCCCTCTCCAGTTGAGGAGGGAGCAGCGAGAGCTGCTGCAGCACGTCCCTGGGGTACCTTTCCCATCAGCTGCTGGAGCATGTCAGGCTCCATCCGCAGTTTGCCATGGAAAAGCCAAGAATGCCCTCAGCCGGCAAACAGTGAGAAAGCAGTGCAAAACCGAGAAAAAGCAGGAAAAAAACGAGAGGAAGCCCCTCCTTCCCTTCAGCCACCAACGAGAAGGAAATTCCTAACCTGAGGCATGCTGTGATTTGTACAATATGTGCTCATCGCTACAGGGGCAATGGAAAATATTGAAAGCATTGCCGGCAAGATCCTGTTAGAAAAGTGACACCAAACCACGGTGTTTTGGGATAACCAGGCTCGTCTGCTTGTTTTTTAGGGTCGCTTCAGCATAGACCTTTATGGGACAGGCCTGTCCTTAATGGGAACAGCAAAGTGGCTCTCGCAAGGGAATTACGCAGTGTCGGAAATTCAGAAATCCCCAGTAAGTTGCAATTTTAATTATAGTTATAGTTGCTCGTGAGAGGTTTTTAATTGCTGCGTTGTCTTTGGTGGCAACATCTTACAAGTAGAGACCAACAAAAATGTAACATCTGACATCAGCAATGAAGTGTTGCCCCTAATTGTATGTGAGGTGGGGGGGTCCTGGTGGGTTTAACTAGATTTGAGTTATTGCAATTAATTAGTGAGCCTGCTTAACCATGAAGCTGAAAACACTGCGTGCTGTGGGGCAGACATATCCTTAATTAGTTGTCTGAGGTGTCCAGCACGGAGCATGCATCACACACTGGGCAGGACTGGGGTATGCTGGGTCAGGGCTGTGGAGCGGGGATTGACATGCCAGAGAGGATCCAGGTGCCAGGCGAGTGCCCTGAGTAGGAGTTCTTCCCAAAACATGGCTGATCAAGTGTGGAGGACATGGACCTTCCCAATGGGCTGGTCTGGGTTTTTTCCCTTGGGATAGATCCTGGTCACCCGAGGTTGGGTGGGCTGGGGCTGCCTCACAGCATGCTGCACCCCAGGGAACTGGTGCCTGCAGCTGCCCGTGGCTCTGCTGACCCTGAGGCCTCCAGGTAAGCCAGACAGGCCTTCAAAATCACTCCACAGCCAGACTTGAACTGTATGGCTTAATTTGCCTGCCCATTAACCCCTGCACTGCTGTGTGCCTTCGTACTGTCGCTCCTATGTCATGTTCTGAAATTGGGGAAACATGGGATTGCTTTTTTGGCTGTCACTTCATGTGAGTCATCTCAATTGCCCCTGTTAAAACTCTCCTAAGGAGGTCACCGTAATCATTTAACAAAAAGCAATTTGCAAAGTATCCTCTCCTGTACTGCTTTCAGTCTCCCTGGCTCTGGTGAGACCCTTGAGCTCATGAGCCTCATCAGCGCTGGGGCTCCTACAGGAGAATTAAATTCTAGTGCTTTGACCATGCTGCAGCAAAGCATCCTCCAGAACAGGTAGAAGAGGACCAACGCAGATCCCCTATGTTAGTTCTGGCAGGTGCTTTGCTATTCTCCCCTTCAGAAAGGAGAAGCCCAGGCAGCTGACTTTGGGGTTGCGGAGAGCAGACACCATCATGGCTGGCAGAATTACAACAAACTTTAAGGGACAAGAGGTCTAAGAGACAACTCTTACCTCTGTCACCCAGTGGTATCTGTCAAGTGCTGTTTCAAGGGTGTAATTGCCCACAGGAGCAGAAGAAAGGCAGGCATAGTGAGAAGAGATGATAGCAGCCTGCTGCTATCACAGATCAATAGTGTCAAGGGCAGGATGGAGCTCGTTTAAAAATAAATGCTTTGTGCAAGCTTGTCCTGCACTTAAGTTCAATTTTCTGGTAATTGAGGGTTGAATTCCCCTCAAGGACTGTCTGTCCATTGTAATGACCAAGAGGAGAAAGACTCTGCAGAGGTGGGATAAGGAAGACCAGATGGAGGTATTGATCTCATAACTCAAGACCAGAGTTGCACCACGCTCGATGGGCTCTCCTGGACTCCGGGCCAGCCCCAGGACCACTCTGCATCTTCCTTTGTCTCTTCTGGCTGTGGAAATGCAGAGCCGAGAGAGGATGGCACTTGGGCAAGTGGCATAGCCTCACCCCATCGCCTTCCCTCTTCTCTTGGCTCTGGTACCACTCCAGGCCTTTCCCTTCCAAACAGCTGCTTCACGGCACTGCCTGCAAATCTTTCCTGTGCCCTTTGCGTGCTCAGGCACAACTGCGGAGCTGTTGTTGTCTAGACGTGGTTTTGCTCTTGCGTGAGCCAAGTCCTCCACTCATTACAGTTATTCACAGCGGGGCAAATTGGAGAAAGCAGATACCCTCGAGGTATCCCTTCAAATGGCCTTCTCCTTGGGCATCTTTCAAAGTAATAAATCAAAACTACCCTTTCTTATTTGTGTTCGCCGTCTGACCTGGTAGCGCTAAAGGGAATTACATTTGCATACATTTAAATATAACGGTGATTTTGTAGATTGATTAGACATAATTTGTTTTTATTCCAAGACATTTTCTATTAAAAATCCTGGCTAGAATAACCCGGATCTGGCCCTTTCACAGCATGGAGTTCCTGAGCCCTTACGTGAGACATTATTTCTGATTTTTGCCTGCAGGATGGTACCAAAGTAGTAGGAAAATGTGGCGGTTACTGTGGGAAGTGTACTCCATCATCTGGAACAGGCCTCGACGTTCAGGTGTTATAGCAATGGTGAGTTCCCAGCTGCTTCTGCATGAAGGGAAACCTTCCCAAAAAACATCCTGAAGGAGCAGATCAGGCCACACTTGCAAAAGCACTTGGTCATTGGTGACAGCCACCTATCCCATGCAGCACCCGGGGAGCAATGGGATCCTGTGCTCCCAGTCCTCGCTTCCCCCAGGAACCCTTACGGGTATAACACCATCGACTGAAAATGTGCTTCCCACCTCGCTGGCACCCGCTTTGGCTCTGCTCTTGTGCCCAATCTCTCAAGTCACAGGTTTCAGAGGCGAAAATGAGGATCTGACCTAATGTGCACCTTGCCTGTGTTTTCCAGGTTCTCTGAGAGCAGCCAGCGGAGAAGAGACGGATGAAGGATAGCGATGCAATACCTCTGCCTTCCAATTTTTTATCTGTTTATGTGTGTATATAGATCGCATATTCTTAATGTACAGTATAATATTTATGTTTGGAATTATTTATTTTGATTTAATATTTTTGTACGTAAAATCATTATATTAAGGCTGCTTTTACTATTTTTATTTTTTATTGTTAAATCCTGCAGTCAAACCACTGCATTTTGCGTACTCTACATTATATGTAGCATTATGACAAGTGATACTTCATTGTCACTGTATTCAGTTGTTTACTTTCAATCAGTAATTTTCCTTCAGTTATGGGCTGCTTTGGCCCTCTACGGTGCTACACAATCTGCATAGGGGTATTTTTGGCATTTCAATCTGTCTTTATGTAAGGAAAATAGACAAGATGTGCTTAAATTTTATTTTAGGGATTAGGCCGACAGCACTCAAGGAAAACATGACAATGAATACAGTGCTAGTTGCATTAGCAATCTTTATCTTTTAAGGTATGTTTTGAATTTCACATGACCTCTGTGGCCAGTGCTAAAAGCACTGGTTTGGTGCTAACACGATATTTATTAATGCTCTGTAATTTTAGTTAATCCAATGCCTTTATCAGTGAAAAAGGGAAGAAAGCAGAAAAAATTTTCAGGTGATTCAAATAAATTAACATCTACCCCAGGCTTAGGAAAATTCCTGCACATGGATCTTCAACTCGAGCCCCTTTTTCACAGGGCTCCGAAGTGAACTCGCTTTTTAAAAAAACACCTATTTATCTCCTAATTGCATGTGCCACTGTGCTTCCTGGCTCCATCTGGAAGCGGGGTATTAACTCATCCCAGACAGGCTGATCAGGCCATATGTTTCCCTGAGCTGTGTGCTGAGAAGCGATGCGGTTCCTTACCGACATTGTCACGAAATTCTAACGTGAAGCCGAACGCATCCCTGCTGTGTTACCGACCCGCGGGGCCGGTGAGGTCCCGTGGGGTCTGCGGCAGGGGCTGGGGGCCGGGGCTCCCCGCCAAGCCACCCCTTCCTCTTGGCCAAGGGACTCTGTTGCAGGCACCTGCAGCGTTTCCCTGGCTTCCTACTCACTCCCAGACCATCTGCAAAGGGAGGCTTCAGCGCCGGCTCTGCCTCCTTCCAACAAGATCACTCTGTACTTACAGATAACTCTATCCCCCTCCCCCTTCAAAAACAGGCTGCTTTACGCCTACTTCTGTGTTGCTTCGGATCTTCCTGGTAAGGCATCTGTGCTCCGTGCCTTTCCGCCATCCCATGTACAACAAGACCTTTAGCGTTGGCTTTTTTTTTTATTATTATTTTGAACTGAGGAGACAGCTCCCATAGGCACCGAACGTGGCGGTGCAATGGCTCCCGCCCGTAGGTAGCCCATCGCTTGTGGCACACCGCGTTTTTGCAGAGCTTCGTAGCACATTGAACGGGGGTGATGTGACCAGATTATTTTTGTAGTCTATGACTATGTCCCTTATCTCTTTCTCTACAATTTTACTTAGTGATAGGAAGATGCTGCCCCTTCACCTTATACGTCGGGGCAGCCAGGAGCACAAAGTACAAGGAAAGGAAGCTTTTCAGCACAAAATTGCCAGCAGTTTGGAAAACCAAAGAGGCTTATCTGCTCCTGTAGATAACTCTTTCGATTTTGCATGCCAAGAGTTAACAAACACCACCTCGGGATCTTGTGTGAGTCTTTTGCGGAGCTCCCCAAAGGATGTCCAATCAGCCTGTTACAAAACAGTTGGATCGATAGCGATAAATGATCCGATCCCTGGATTCATAACCCACACGTGCGCCGGGCTGTGCTCAGCCTTCGGAGTGAAACCTGTCAGCCTGACAGGTCACATCAGCTGGGAGACATCTCGCAGGCGAGCGAGGCTGTGTCACGGTCCAGCAGCTGAACAACTGGTGCTCTACACTTATTTTGTGTGTGCCTCTGCCGCTCTCATTAATATTCAGACTTAGAGGAAAGGATGAGGCTGTTATGCATAATTTGGGGCTTTTGGCTTAATAGTACATAAGTAGATGTGATCGTGTCTTAGAAAGACTAATTTTTCACCTACGTTGTATGTCTGTGCATAACAATAGTAAATTCTACCTTTCTGAGAAAAATGCCAAAAATACCAATTCAAAGGTGAAAGAAAAGAAAAGGGAAAAAGGGAAAGGAGAAAGGAGTAGTAAGGGAATAGTGATTTTTTTTTTTTTAATGACAATTGCTTATGTATAACTTCTGTAGGGGCAAAGGGAAAATTGCACTATGAACTTTAGAAAGAAATGGTGCTTAGAAAGTACAGGCTTCTTATATTTTCTCTAATGAAGTGAATGGCTATTTATAAAAAGAAATATTATTTTGACCTGTACACATTCATTTCTACCGTATAGTTTCATAGCAGCTATTAACAGAGCAAGAGAAAACTAAAAAAAAAATATTAAACTATAAGGGAAAAAAATTATAGAGCACTGATCCTGTGGTTCATTAACAGGCTTCATTAACTAAGAACAGACCTTGAGGACCAGAGACAGTAGACATTTCTTGTTCAGGAAACAACTCTGGGTTTTGTATATCAATGCCATTATTTTTCTTCAAACTGGGGTATTTTTTTGCAAGCACTTTCCTGTACAGTGTTTCTTTTCTTTCTGCTTATACTCAAAAGGAAATGAAAAGACCCGTAAGGCATGTCTGTTTGGTCTTTCTGCATTTGCCATTGTATTTACCTGTGTGCTATTATAGAGGCAAAATACTTTGTACACAAGGGAATAATACATTGAATGGTAAACATTCCTTTCTGTGCTGGTGTTTATTTCCAAGCTTTGGGTTCCTTGTTTGATTGTCCCATGCAAAGGGAACGAGGGAGGGTAATAATGTTGTTTATATGGAGCCCTGCCCCAAGTCCACATTGGAGTCTGTGGACTAGGGACCATCTTGGAGAATAGCCACGGCCATCCACTCGTGTCCTGCCGGTCAGATAGACTGATGGTCCCCAATTTCTATCCAGGAGAGGAGTGCCCTGAGGTACAAAACATACATGATCACATCTCAGAGCTGCCCTGTGCACTACTTGGACATGCCTGGTGACCAACTGGTTCTGCCATCCACGCACTAGGGACATCGCTTGCCATGGGATGATAAGGGAGCCAAACAGTTCATTTTGCAAATGTTTTTGAAGGATGATCTGGGATACTGGGCCTGGTCCGCACTGCTAGCAGTGCTGTTTAAAGAAATCTGAAAAAAAAACAAACAAAACAGCAACTTTTCTAAGTTTGAAACAATAGTATCAAACATACAAGAAAATTCAGGTAGAAGAAATTTGAGTTAAAAGGAAGCAAACATGAGGACCAGCACCCAGGAGGGCAACCAAGTGACAAACTGCAGCCAGAGTCTTACATCGCCTCTGGCCCAGAGGCTGCAGGTAGGAGTGAAGAAGTTGCATTTTTCTGTCCTCCCTTGCATGTTCCTCATGCTTTGTCTCAGAAAACGAAGCAGATCTCTTAGCGCTGGCAGCTCCAGCCTTTTTCAGCTTCTATGCTTTCAATCCAAAAGGAGAGAGAATACCTTTCTCGTGCTAAAACAGTCAGATGGAGAAAACAACACACAGTATTTCAAGAGCTTGATTCTTAGTTTAAATGGCCAATGTCTTAAAAGTGTTTTTCTTTTCTATCCTTTATCCTTAATAAATGATTACAAATACTTTAAATGTGGGCTGCTGTAGAATTAAGCCAACAGGGGGTCTGTGCACAGCCCCTGAATCATATTTAACCTTCCAGCCCTATATAATGAAAGGGTCATTTTAACACTTTTGATGGTCCAGTTATTCTGTGAAAATTACAGTGCTCTCCTTCAGCCTCGTTATACAGCCTATCAGGATTAATTGCTCCAGAGACAGAGGTGATTGCTTCATCTCTTCAACCTTCTCTTCTGCCACAATAATGGGCATTTTTTTTTCTATAGAAAAATAAAATGTGTTTTGTTGAAGGCTGTTGGAAATGCATATTTCAAGGAGCTAGTCTTAAATCAGGACATCTGCTAGAAATCTTCCTCTCCTGCATAGCCATGCTTTGAAAATTGTATTGAAAAATGAGGAGAGGCAGAAAAGACCAAGGAGGGCAGTCTGGGCTTGAAAGACAATTTTCCACGGAGGTGCTTCCAGACCTTGCCTAGTGAGTCTTTCCGACACGATTCCTCTTCCCAAACAGATGACTGAGGGCTGACTTAGAGAAAGCGTTTCTGCCAGGGAGCATCGTTGAGGTGAGACAATTCTTCCATCTACCAGGCAAAGGCGCAGAAATTCAACCCAATGCAGGAGTCATTAACAGCTGAAGTATCTCGGCCCACATGGTAAATTCTCTCATGGCTTGAACTCTTCAAATCAGGAACTCTTCAAATCAAGTCTTTTTAAGAAATATGTCTGGGTTCATCCAGAAGTCGCTAACCTTAGTAGCTGTTGGTCATTTAGCGGGAGGGGACGAGTTCCTTCACAGTACAAATTCCTGGAGGCAACTCTCCAGCTCATGTTGTGCAGGAGGAAGGAGCTGATGACCAAAAGCGGTGCCTGGTGGTCTCACTCTAGCATTTCCAGGTATTTTTGCCTGCGTTGGAGTAGAGTAATCCAAGCAATCGGAACTGTAG